ATAAAAAGATGCACTGACATGGGGAAATCCATTGGACGGTGAAAGGGGTTCACGTAACTCCATATGTTCATGACAGAAGCTCGTTATTCTGGCGTGGAGTCGATATCTCCTCGCACTGTCTTGCAAATGACCAAGAAAGTCATCGGCTTGTCAATAGATGCAGTTTTGCAATGATAACAGATATTAACTGATGATCAAATCGCCCAACCATGCTATTGGAGGCAGTTTGACTAGGTGAAGTACAAACATTGTATAAATTGTGCACCACGATCAAAATAATGAAACTGGGAACACCTATTGACAAACGCTCAGGCAATAGTATCAATTTGTAGTGGGCCCCGGTGCGGTTTTGGAAACCACACCAGGGCCGGCGATTTACACTGACAAGGCCGCGACCGAAAGAAGAGTTGAACTGGAGATGGCGCGTAGCTCAACCAATTCATTCACGCAGCAGGCGTGTGTGTGTGTGTACAGGATAACGAGTGCGTTTAAATGGCTTCGCTAAGTATCGATCCCTGAACGAGCAAATTTGCGTGAAGCGGGTTCGCGAAAATCGATTGAATCGTGTTCGCTCGCGCCTGCAAACTGCGTTCGCTCACAACTGCTAACTGTGCTCGCCTGCTGCTCGCCACAGTTGATTTTACCTTTTGGTCATTCAAACTTGCAATTTTAGTGAAACCGCGAGATTAAGGAATGCTATTGGTTAAAGGGTAAAACGGGAAATAGGGGAATTTATGGGACGACGGTATGGGTTCACCTAAATCCATAGGTTAATGAGAGAAACACTCATCTTGAAGAGGGAAAATGGCCTAGTTAGTAAATATATTGACGGTGGACTTTGCTGTGCTGGCATTCAGCGCAGAGTTAAGCCCATGGACGCACATTTTTAACGATGTAAGGCCAAAAAACAGTAAGTTCTTATACACACAGTGGCTCGAACACCATGATGAGAAAGGAAATGGAGATGCCCAAATATTTACCTTCTGCATTGTAGCAGGAACATAGGGTGGAGGTCAGATAATTAACATATCGTGGGAAAGTGGCGGATTGAAAGCTCACAAAGGTGTAAAAATAGTGTGAACAACATGTAACCGTTTAATATCGATACAATGACGGAATCGTTTCTATCAACATTGCGAATACTAACTGTCAAATGAGGAACGTAATCAATAAATCTTGATTTGCGCCGGACCTACCAACCTAATGTCGCATAGAAGGATAGAGTCAAGGGCCCTTGCTCGGCCAGTTCTTGTTGCAAAACTGCATCTTTTGCAGTTTGGAAAGCACCTGTTTGCAAGGCTAGTTTTGATTCATTCATGCAGTGGCCCAAATCGTTTTATTTTATTATTGATCGTTTAGAGTTTAAAATAACGGTTTCAGTCACCTTAGTAGAGCAAGTCAGTCAATAAAGATAAACAGTCACCGGAAGCAATTGTCTAAACCGTGAAAATGGTGCAGACTTGTGGTAATTAGGCCGTCGATACACTAAATTGATGCTTTTTTTTGCCGTCGGCGGTCTGATACCTGCTGCATCAATGTGATATCTATCAAACACGATTCTATCTACTCCAAAGATGCGTTTATAGAATTTATTTAAAGTCTACAGGCTTTAAGATGAATGAAAGACACAGTAACCTTTCGTCATTTTCATTGATAGCAAATCAACTTAAGGCAAAATTTAGATTACATACAACTTGGATTTAAATGTGCAAGCTGAGTTGTGTAAACTAAAACCCATTGATAGGAACTCGATAAATGTGGTTATAGTAACACCGGCAGTTTTATAGATGTCTTCTGGGTCAAAAGGCATTTTATAATTAGCCCAAACTGGATCTGCTCCTAAAAAGGCTTGAGTACCCTAAAAACCTAAAGAAAGTTAATATATGTGCAGTGACCCTTTTTAACCACAGTAGTATTTGTAGTCTTCGGATTTCTTGGATATGCTATCGAGAGAAGGAATAATGCCAAAACATTACATATGGTCGAACTTCGTTTTGGCTTCTCCAAGTTTATTAGCCGTAGTTGGTGGGCCTTTAGTCGTGATGTGATATGTGATTTGATCGGTAGGTTTCCAGGGCACCTAGAAAACTTTGGCAATTTCTAATAAAATGTTAAGAGCTGTTCGTCCCTGTGGTAGCCGGACAATACGACATGGATTGCAATAAAATTATTTGAAGCAGAAACTCCACGAATAGATAGAGTGGTATTTAAATCCATGAACATGCGTTGTGCATATAAACTAGTAGACCAAAATGAGAATGAAACTCGGCACCATTAAATGGGCGCTGTGGTTAGGAAGCAACGAAATAGAGGGGAACTGTGGACTTAGGCCTAAATGTAAGGCAAGCAAATTTAGACTGCACATCACAAAGGTTAAGTTGAAGCTGTAGGTGACATTCATCAAGTCAGGAACTAGTGCCAAGTAGAAATTGTAAGCGAATAGCGGAATCGGTGACGTAATGAAGGTGCCGCGGAAAGTCGTTGTCGGCGCTGGTCCGTTGTCTCGATTAGGAAATACGCATTCAGAAGGCTTTGAGGCCTAGGGGTGGCTAAATGCATATTTACTGGCTTTTACTTTGTAACGATGATGGAATCGTCTTAGGCCAGACTGCATTCTGGGTTGATTAGATTGACAATACCGGGAAGCGGAGCGCTGTACTTGCAGAGGTTTTTCTGGAAAAGGCAATAATTGTGTAGAAAAAAGTTCATCAATTCTTACTAAGAGGTTGGATTTTCGATCCGACAACTTATCAATGTCTGATATTTCAGCGGATATGCCTTGATTTCCCGTTTACGTTTCTCTCGACTTTGTTAGGAGTGATTTTGGCCATAATTATGACTGAATAGGGTAATTAACCTTGTTGTCTTTGACAAAGTAGCTTATATGCCAAAGAGGTTAAGTGAAATCTAATTGAGCTTGATCTTCATGTTTTTTTTTCTCTGTAAGTCTTAAGTTAATAAAATGGTAGCTAACGAATTTTTCGAGAGGTGACAGTTTTCGGTTCCCTTAATGATATAATTGTTTAATCATTTTATTGTTTCATTAAAAAATATTACTTATTAAGATTTGTCCGCGAATTAATTTAAAGGATGTAAGACTACAAAGGTACATCAGTGAGCTTTGATTTAAGGTCAAGTATTTGTTTTCTCGTTAAGAATTAGGGCGCTGACTTTGGAGGTGTTGCCTCGAGAGTAGTTTTTTTGCTAAGCCTCGTTCGGCCGTAATGGCCTCTGTTGTTGCTCCAGGTTTAAAAGGCGGACGAAAGCCAGATTTAATTTCCATCATTAATGGATTCGAAGGCGATGTCAATGATGCCATTTTTATATCCAAAGAGAACTATATTTTAACTAGCTCTGACGACAGGTTGTTCTTTTGGTAAAAATAACCTCCAAACAACACGTAGATCTCTTCGATTATGGGTTACCCGTGAAAGTGGTAGGTATTGGCCATCAGTTGAGAAAGTGCTCCCTAGTAAGTATATATTTTACACAAATAACCCCTTCAGGTCCTGCCGTTATCATCCTGTTTGATAAACAAACAAGTCGAGTTTGCACAGGCCTGGCCAATGGAACAATATCGGATTTCACATTGTCGTCGGACTTTAACTGCCTTAATCACAACCGAGACATCTTAGCACACGTCGATCGAATAAGCGGACTCTTACTTATCAAAGAACTGAAGTTAATTATTTCAACATCCAAAGACCAAACTGTCAGTTGGTTCAATGACGAAAATGGCCAGCAACTTGGGACTTTCAATATCGAGGCTGCAGGAACATGCTTACAGTAATATTTTATTGTATTACGAACTAATTTTTGCATTGGTACAATTCTCAGTTTACTTTTATGCAATCAATGATTTGTTACGTCCAGTCTGGCGGATATTTTCACTTTCACATGGTATCATTTTTTTTATTTTGACATTACCTTACGGTGAATCCGTCCCTGGTCGTTTGCTTCCTAGCCCACGCCCTAAAAGAATCCATGATTAAATTAACCGCCAAAATCCTTCACGACTCTCTATTATCCCTTTAGATTTGACATCGCTACGAGCTGCCTTTTCGTGGGAGATGCCAACGGCAGAATCACGCTTCTTAGCTTTGCCAAGTCCCGTGATCTTTCGTCTTATGAGCTCATCAGACAATTTCACGGCCACACAAAGAGTGTGACTTCGATGTGTTGGGACAGCGTGACCTCGCGACTTATCTCCTCCTCAGCCGACCTTTCTGTGATTCTTTGGGACATTGGCGGAGGCAAAGGAACAGCCTTGGAACTTCATGTATGCGATATTTGAAACTGATTGTTGTATATTCTGTTTTGGTGGAATTCAATGCCTTGATCTCGTATTTTGATTTCTTCCACCAAACCCGTGTTTAAGATTAATGGCCTACTTAACCGGGTGTTGGTTTGGTTATAAAATTAAGCAGGATTCTTTCGTCACGTGTCTGCATAGGGACACAAGGGCGCAGTTACCTCGGCCAAGTGGTGGCACAAACCACTGACGGCACCTAAAAAGGCCGGAGATGAGAGTGGCAGCACGTGCAGTGCTGCCAATGTCGCCACCTACATCATCTCCAGTGGCCTCGACGGCCTGGTGTTCTTTTGGCTCATCGACGGCGAGGATAGTCAGGGGAAGCGAGTGCGGCGTCAGGAGACACCCAATTGGTCCGAGTCGGATACCTGCCAACTGTGCTCAGCACCGTTCTTCTGGAACATCAAAAAGATGTGGTCTGACATGGCGGTTGGTGTTCGACAAGTAAGTGCCTCTCTTTGTCCTTGAATCAGGCATTAGATGAGTCACTATAAAATCAGGTCTTAATCATGTTGCCTCCCGTCTGACACCAGCACTTTCCTCCTGGCGCCTGTTTGCACATATTTGCGCAATGAATATTGTTTATTGGGTTTGATACACTATCTTTTGATGTGCACTGTGAAACATGAAATCGTCCCAAACAACCAATCCACCGTTGTCTATCAACTATGTTTATCTCGTCTGTGGTTGTTGGATTTTCAGGCTTGGTAAAGCACTGTCAACTGTGCCATTTTTTATTGCAACTGATTGTAAATGGGCGACGTATTCATAAACTATGAGCAAACAGAGTTCGTTTTTGATCAACGCGTGTACAAAGTTTCCAGTTTTGTGATCAATGACTGACTAGACCACGGTGGATTAGTAGAAAACCAGTGGTTGTTAAGAATACGTGTTCCATTCTGACTGTCGTCTTGCCAACACATCCCGACCACAGGTCGTATCGCGATAATAACATTCACACGTTGCCGCGTAAAAAAAAGATCAGATTGTGTGACAATGCTGCTTAAACGCACCGGCGGTTCGGAATCAGTGCGGATATAGTTTCACATCGGTGGCCCTCGCAACACCTTGTAACCACCGTTTGAGAGTTTGTGTGAACCTCATAGGTCTCGCGAGGTATACGTGCATTCTGCCTGTGAAAGGTTCCCTGAGTCGAATTTGAATATTGCTAGTGTAATTCGACGCATTTAGACCTTTAGTTACTCGCTAACTGCTACTTTGCATTCTCAATCAATCGGCAAGGTACGAGGTCCGACCAAACAAGGCCCAAAGCCTCTCAAGTGTCTAATTTGCAAAGTTTTGGCTCAAATTAGCGGTTACTTGTTACGTCACAACTCACTGTGTTAAATCCCTTGTCTAGGGGAATGTTGGCAGCCCCAATAAGGATCCAGCCTCAGGCTTATTGGCACGTACAACTCTTGAAATCGCCTTAGATTAAGCATCCTTGATTCGTGGCCACTAAAACAGAGGTCGGTCGTCGTGTAAACCTAACCGAATGTACCTCTGTGCTGTTAAATAAGCTTTGTTTCTCTGATGTGTCATATTGGTCAGGCATTCGTGTGTTTACAAAGTTTGTGTCGCTAAACAGTGCATCGCATGTGTGCTGACCCCTAGTGGTGCGCGCCACGGTGACAATCTCGTCCGCCCACGCACTTTGCGGTTGCCCACGTGTCCGAAACGCAATCGCGTCACTTCTAATCTTCCACCTGTTCATGTCTACTTTCTCGGCTGCGGCGTTCTTTAATCATAAAAACACCACAAGCACACACCCACACACTTTAAATGCGCACACCAAGTACAGCCAATTGGAACTAGCCTTGATCAATGTTGCTATTATACCTCTTTGCTGTAAGCTTCTTTCACGCATGTCGCGTGTTTCGCAGAATCGTGCTGACATTTGAGTAGTGATATTTAATCAAATGCGACAACACATTGATGGTGGTGAGAAATTGCAGCCTTTCTGGATTATTATGCAAACCTGCTCTACAGAACTTGAAAGTAACATCCAGCATGTCCGTGTCTCCATGCACTGTTAAAGATTAAGACAAAAAGCAGTTCCTGGTTACACATTTAGTCGTTTTGATAGATCAACGCAACGTTAGCACGTCTCTACCAATGGTATCTCCACCGAGTCGCCTGAAGCAGCAAACATCCAGGAACTAGGAGCCTATTTGCTCAAAAAACCAAACCTGATTTCCAGATGCATCACGGGCTTTGCTTGTCGGTTTTAATTATAATCAACAGTGGTTTCTCTAAAAACGGACAAGTATTGACCGTAGCCTGATTCCCACTCTCAATACCATGGTACCTATCAACGTAGAGTACTTTTCTAAGAATTTGTAAACGCATCCAGACACGGGTGTTTATTTTCTAAAAGAGGTACCACTGTCTTCTTGACATAAGTTTGCAAGTTGTGTTAGCTGCCTCACAGGGTGCTTGTGATTTTAGCACCACTGCCGTCGCTGTGGCAAAGCAGTCTGTGAAAAGTGCTCGCTTAATCGATCCGTTTACCCGGTGATGGGCTTTGAAAAGGAAGTCCGCATGTGCACGGAATGCTTCAAGGCCATAGCAAGTGAGAGGTAAGTTTGTTTGATTGAATTGCAGACTTGACTCACGGTCTTTAACCAACTGCACCTGCGTCCTTGCAGTGAGCATGTTTGCTGACCAGTTAAACTGACATCTGACACAGGCTGAGACCAAAGCACAATCGATTCAATCCGTATCCTTGACACAATACAACACAAGAAGCGTTCTAGGTCTAGAGGTTCGGGCGAATGTCAATTCAGCTCACTTTTCCAGCGACTTGCAACTGGGGCAAAATTTCGGGCCCACATTAAGCTGTTTGTTTTACCCTATCAACCCTACGCGACTTCAGGGGAACGTGGTTAGGGAACTTTGAGACTAGGTGCTCGGTCATAATGCTCTTGCTTGATCGTTTCAGTCTCACCAGCTTGGCATATTTCTTTGATGCTCGCCACCCCATCATCCGCAGCCATCTTCTCGGTGATCTAAACTTCATGCTCACAATTGGAAAGAACAAGGAAGTAAAGGTCAGTGCCAAATATGCAGCAATTCCTGCTCTGCACCTATTAACAACATCCTTTCAACCCCTACCCCATTTCCACGAATTCTTGTTTTCTAATTCGTTGTAATTGCTGTTATTTCAGGTTTGGGATCTGAAATCATTCCTGTGATTGCGTATCGCTTCTACAATCACGCGTTATTCCTTCACACACACACACACGTTTTGTCGTCAGCATGTCAACCCCCTCCCCATAATTACAACAATTATATTCGATGAAGCATGCTACTTCTGTAAATACTCAATGCTTTAACCAGTACTTTCTTTTTTCAATTTGCCGCTGCCTACTACACATCTTCACACTGTTATTTGAATAAATTCTCGAGCCTCAAGAATTATACTCGGATTAGCAGTTGTAAATGGCATGATATGGACGAGTTAATACAAGATTATCCCTGTAAGGTACTTTTCGGAACAAAGATGGTGCTACCCGTTACCTGAGATATAAATTTCCAAGGTTCGATGACGGATATTACTTAGCCCAGTCTGGCCACGTTAAGCAATAGCGTAACCGCCTTGCGGAGTACTCGTGATTGAGCTTGTCTTCGAATAGACGCAGGAAAGTTGGCATGCCTTTTCCGAGAACCTGGTCGCTCGGCAGGGCATCCAAATGAGCAAGTTGCTTTCGAATGTACGCGACGAGTGTTTCAAGCTGGAACGCTGAGGTGTCCGGCGACGACAAGAAAAAGTTCCGCCAGAGAGCACCGGCCAGTGCACAGTCTGAATGCATCAGAAAAGCCTCGTCGTAGGCAAACAGGGAACCAAAAAATTGCATATTAAACTGTTCGATGTGGTCGTGTTGCTTGCGTAGTATCCCGAATCCGCGCATTCTGCCTTTCAGATCAGTCCAAATGAGCTTGACAAAATGAGAATAGTTGAATAGCAACAAACCTGAATAAAAGCACGTTTGAGTATACTGCCTTCAAGTCCTTCTCTGCGCAGACGGACAAGGCATAGCCAAATGTGAAGCGTAGTGATCGAGAACCATGTCTGAAAAGTATCAGGTAGCTGGAGCTTAGTGACGAAGTCACTGAATTCCGGATACTCGGCACATATTGCAAACATATTCTCGCCAGATAATTTCAGCCGCGAAGAAGGGTATCGCAATCCATGTGCAAATCGGTATTTTAATGACGCAAAAATGCCAGGTGCAGAACTTTGAGGTAGGCTTTCTGGTGGCAAAGTAGACACCGCTTTGTGTATGTGGTTGCAGCCTACTAGTCTGAGGCAAACGCAAGACCGAAATATAATGCGAGTATGAAGCATGTCCTTACGACTGAGTATGTACACAGCCACAAAAAGGAAGAAGCAAGGCTATTTCAGAGAAAATTGGCATCAAGGCCTTCATCATCGACATCAGTCATTCCACAACAATTTGCCACGATTAAAGCGGACCGAAAAATCTCATGCCCTAAAAATTTAGTCGGAGTCAAGTAGGGTTCAGAATAATCTCACACGAAACATCCTAAATTGTTTTTCATGCTAATCAATTTTGCAGCCGTAAATGCGGACCAAATTTATTTACCACATATCTTCTGGTGTCTAATCCGACCAAGAAGATTCTGGGATATGTCTTTACAACAAAATTGCCGCGCCCATCGGTTTCTACAGGTGCATAACTTCATAAATTTTTTTTGGATAATCGATTGGTTTATTGCCAGAAAGGTTTCTCAAAATCTATGGATAAAAACATGATTCAATACCTTGCCAATTACACTCAATGGTCAAAGATTTGTTCATATTGTTTAAAAATAAATATAAAGAACTATGTAACATGAAGCTGACAAAAGGCGGTAATGACTTGGAGTTTTCTGCTCTAAATTCGAAATTTTAGAATTGCCTTCTTGACGGAAACATGATGTCTGTTTTTTGTGATAACGCTAACCGCGTTTACCTTTAAACATAATAACCAAAATGCTAAAATTAATTATTTGAATTTTGTGGGTTTCACGAATGTCGTTTACCATTTCATCAAAAGACAGGTTTAATGTTGATGATGCTGAAATGAATTTAAAGTTGAACTTTGTTCGGCGCTTAAATCAGTTGTGGTTTCACTTTTTCATCGACTCTTGTGATTGCGGGTAATTATTTTTAACTGTATCGGCATCTTTTCTCTTTGTTTGTGTTTTTGAAATTGCAAAAACAAGTCTACTGGCTTTAAAATCAGACAGCATATGTTCTGTGATGCCTTTTCTAGTCTAAATGAAAATCGATCGAAGGAAAATCGGTAATCGATGCGGATATGACCAGAACGAGTGTATGCTTTTGGCGAAGAGGTTGGGAGAATGCCCCGATGGCGAGTTTTTGGAAGAATTACGTAAAATAAAGGTTTGGAACTACGGAAAATGTGAACTTGGACTGTGGGCGGACATTCTTGACCGCCTGGATGCCATCCTTGAAGATGTGACGACTAAAGTTGGCGCATGGACGTTGAAAGTTGACGTTCCTGGGAACGAGCATCTCGTCAAAGACGTGGTTACTGTCCTGGAATTTACTGGACACCTCATTGAGCACAGCATCTATCGGTGTCTTTATGGCTCATGGGATCATATACTTGCGCTTTTCGCGTCTTCCAATATGGACATACTTTTAGCCGTTCTTGGCCTTGCATACAACTTCAGGTAAGACTTGCCAGCAATCTGGCCTCATTTAGTAGCAAGCGAAGTAATTACTTTGCGCGCCTCGATCCAACGAACAAGTCAATGATTCTTGACCGACTCGTCTCAATTGCTGAATCATGGGGTGGTTCAGAGAATAACTTTGACCTCGCATCTTGTTGTCAACCGGACCACGTAATTTCATTATCTTATCTCATGTGACACTCTTAGTTACCCCCTACCGCTGGCAAGGTTTGCTTCGAATATCAGCCAGAATCCGTCAGCCCTGATTTGGAACCAAGTGCCCATAAAAGTAATTTCCGTTCAACATTCTGATATTGTGATTTCCTAGTCCAGAGAACCTCCATAACAGGCCCAATTATCATCGAGGAAGACTTTAGATACTCGAACATGTCCTCTTCAGAAATAATGGAGGAATTACTCACCAAGCACTCTGTGCCTTCGTCCAAACAGATGGCTCTGTTTGCTCGAGTCCGTCTTGCTGTGTACTTTTTGGACCATGAAAAACGCCTCAAGTGCATCAAGGCTCGCTTACAGGCTTTTTCCACCCTATGTATGTTGTCAATACTTTTCGTCTCACTCTTTACTGATAACAGGCTACACTTTCGAGTTCGATGATCGCCTCCTTTACTTTGGTCTGATGGATGAGCTGGTTGATGTTTTACAACTTCCTGAAGGTGAATTTATGGAGATTAAAGCCTGTGCACTTCGAACCATGACAGCTGTTTTCAACCTCCAGCGTGTCAACTTAAAGTACGTTCTTCGCTACTCCCATTGTTACTTCTGTCTCCATCCGTTTGATTCTTGTGACGTTTTCCCTTTATAACCACTTTTGAGTTGAATTCTCTTCCATTTGGTGCCATGACGTTTACATCAAACTGCCACTAAACCTTACCATTTTGCAGTCATATCTCTCTCACATTAAGATGCACACTCTAAATTCGTAAATAACATTGAAGTTCTGTAATGTCCATGGGCGTATTTTTTTCAGCCTTCCATCGGTTTTCGAATCAATGGGCATGTACAGTTTCCATGGAGCGCTCCCCACCAAAATACGGCGTTGGATCCAAGGCCTGGTTGACGGTACTTGTGATGCGTCCGGAGGCAGTGTCAACCAGCAATACACAATTGCGCTGCTGTCTTTCCTCTACCATATCGCCTCCTTTGAACAGGCCACGGTCCCTGGTGTGTTCGCCTGTTTTTTTGCTTTGACATTCCATACTCTTTTTTTTTTTCGCATTATTCTCAGTTCACGAGCAAGCTCAAAATCTTTTGATCGTATCAAGACACGATCGAGTTTTTGTTGATCTGATGCAACACTGGTGCATCTAGTGTGTTAAGTCACAAATTACCGCAAAAATCTATCTTTTAAGTTCCTTTTTGATTGTGTTTTCTGGCTGTGGTGCAGTAAACGCGGTGACGTTGGGCACGTGCGGCATTCTCGATGCGATGCTGCAGCTGATCGCCTGGCATGTGCCACGCAACGACTGTCTGAGCTACGTGACTCGCGCTGTCCGCGTCACCGACCAGATCCTCACGACCACCTCCATCACACGGCCGAATGTGATCGAGCGACTAGTTGATCGTCTCGCCTATGAGGTCGACCTAATCCTCAACAGCCAATCCGTAAGTCGTTTCATTGCTGTCTTATCGTCAATCTCTATGCGTAAATCATAACATATCAAAATCTAAACTGAGTCCCTGAACAGTGTAAATAAATGCAGAGAGTAGGGCACAATCAATTTATCACCATGCACTAAAGCGTTTTGACACTGCCTGGTTTCAAGCGATTTACTTTATGCGCACGCGTGTTGACCTTGTCGTGGCGGGGTTTAGAGGTCGTGTGCAGCCTGATTTTGTGAATTCGGCTTTGTTAATCTCGAATGTAGAATGCTGTCTAAAGATGGGTGGTAATCGTTCGTATCATACCCTTGTTTATGCGTTTTTGTCGTCAGCAATGAGTGAGATTGAATGTCATGCGTCACTTTAGACCCTACTTATAGCTGGATCATCACATTTACTAGTTACGCATGTGCCATTAAACTCGTAACATGGTCAATCTCACAGAAATTGTGGCCGAGTGTCGAGTGTTGCTCACGTCTGCAGAAGTAACTTTTCATTTTAATTACTTATCACACCGAGTGAAACATGTTACGTGATTAAACTCTTCTACGCGTCGAGTAAATGAAGTCGCTTCGAAATGACAACTCTTCAAGCGTGTGTGCGCGAATACTAACCGTAGTTTAATGAGAGAATGTGTGTGCGGTGAAATTATGCGTCACGCGTTCATCTCATTTTGGTTGTTTCCTGGGGGAGAAAATCGTTTCGTTTAGCACAAATGGGTAGTTATGGCTGTGGCGATTTAGCCAAGCATTGCAGTCGATTTCATGGACGAGTGTGTGGAGATGCGTGTGCCTGATTCCCACATTCAGACATTGTTTATTTGCAGGCGACACCTGACGACGGCGGCGACACCCAACAATCCTCCACCCCCCTCCTCAACACCCAGCGCTCGGGCCTCATGAAGTCCATGCTGAACCTCCTCAAACGCCTCTGCCTCGACAACGACTGGTACGAGGCGATTCGTCCCGCCATGAACGGCAACCTTCCCTCGATTCTGCGTCAAATATACAATAATTCGGTGTTTCTCTTTTCGCCTCATCTCGCTCTCTTTGCTATGGAAACCATCACCAACTACATCTATACGTACCCCTCAAGCATATCGTACATGCAGGTAAGGCTTCCGACGGTGTGGGAGATCTCTTTCCTGTACACCTTCGGCACAATGCAGCATTATCTCACCCTCACTACAAATGACGGCGTTTCTGTAAAATGCATCGACACACGTGCGCAAAAGGCCGCTTGCTATTGATTAAAAGTAGCTTACGCTTCTACTCACAGTCCTTGACGCGGGGTTGTTCGAATCGAGAAATTAACTCATCAAGCCAACCCCCACAACACCCACAATGAACGACGTCGTTTAGAATTTATGGAGTGCATGCTCCTGATAAATAGAAATAGCTTTTTATCAATGTTGATATGAAGGCTGTGGCCCGTTTTTTGGACCTGGTATACTTTATGAAATTGAGCTAGTTGACACAGTTGGAGCCTCCTTGGCATCGCTGTAGGTTATTTTAGACCTTTCTAGCCCTGATCGGTTTCGGTTTTAGGATAGGGGCGTGACCTGCGACATCCTCACGGCTCTCACAAACCAACCCCTGCCACAGAGTCGCGACTTTCTCGTTCACCTGCCCGCAATCCTCATCACCTTGGCGCTCAACACCCGCGGTCGTTCGGCCCTCTGTTTGAGTGGCATCCTCGACAAATACCTCTACACCCTCATCTCGCCCGACTACGTGGCCACAATGAAGGCCAAGAGGGTGCGCGACTTCCTCTCGCAAATAACCTACAACCTCTCGTCTAACTCGGGCCAAGTCATCTCCACCAGCCTCACTGCCAGTCAGATGAGCAACTCCATTCATGACCTCCTGCGTTCGCACAGCGAGCTCCGGCCCTTCGTTTTCAATTGCATCATCAAGGTAGGCGGTTGAATTTGTGTGTGCGTGTGTGCTCGCGCGCGTTTTTGAGTGCGTGAATGAGTTGTGCTACACGTCACGTCGCTCTGATCGCGTGAACATGCTTCATGTGATGTGTGTGCCAATGGAATTAGATTTTATCGTGTCAGTGGGTGCATAAACTGAAGCCCACTTTTTTCTGCGTCTCGCCAGTCTGTGAAAAGTTTGCCGATGCTTAATGAACTCGGCAATGACTCATGTTGTAGGGACATCACGAGTTTCCTGCTTCCACTCTGACTGGTCCAAGCGTTCTTCCAATACTGAATCCGTTTCGACAGCAAAACTCCACAGTCGAATGACGATGAGATCTACGTCTGTGAGATTTATCTAGTGGAAAGGTGGAGCATGTTCATGTAACGTTCGCGTGCCCATTTCTCGTAGCTCTTGCAGATGGTATGTGTCACTCAAATCCCAAGGTTGTCTTCGTGTTGGTCGAAACCTCTAGATGGCTCGTCGCAAATTCATTATTATTATAATTATCATCATCATCATCGATATACTCTCCCATCTCATTTTGTAAAACCATGCTTCCTTTTACGCTTTGTGTCCGCTTCACAGTGTATCACGGAAATAGTCGATATGGGCCATTCCTGCCAGGCCTCTTTGATACCCCCGTCACACTCCCCTGAGAGTGCCATGAGTTGTGCCGGTACGCTGCCCTTGGCTGCCACGTCCTCCGCCTCCTCTTCACTTCCTCGTATCTCTCACCGACGCAACATCACTTCAGCGGCAGTAATCGATTCCAGCACCGGTCCGGGCTCCACGGGTACACCCCGTGGTCTGGAAGACGAGGATGACGAGGACGAGGAGCATTTGATGTTTTCGGGAAGTGATGGCGGAGGCAGTGATGCCGACGGCGACGTTGACGGGGGTGCTCGAGAACAGCCACGACCTCATCCCCCTGAAATTGCGTCGACTGCCCCGCTACCCTCCACCAGTCAGGGTTCGGCAGAATTCGCTGTGGCTGATAGGCGCCGTGATTGCGTTTTGTACCTCTCGGATTACATTCTAAACGTGGTACGTTGCTGCTGTGCAAACGTGACACTTTGTGTAGTGAAATCTCCATGCTAGGCACACTTGGCTCTCACAGTGTAGCATCACCTGCTAACTTCTCAACGCTAATTGACAGTGTCACTGGTGATTTTGTAGTGCAAGTTCTTTGAGCGCTTAATGCCCTCGATGGTCCACGTCACCGATGGCTCGTGCCGCCACTTTCTCAATAAAAGAGGCGTCCACGTGCTCTGCGATCTCATCACCATGCCAGGACTGCCCTACGACTTCCCCGTGTCTCCCGCCTGTGCAGCCCTCTGCAAGATCTTCGAACTGTTCGGCAGCTACGCGTGCATCCAGGACACAGTCAGGCCGATCCTTGAGGTATGCTTGACTACGTCACCGTGTCAAGTTTAGACGGTAAACCAACCTGTACGCTGATTTTGCGCCATTTCAGACCACTGAAACCTGGATCAAAAAAACCAATGCTTTGTGGTCGGAGTATGCCTCACGCCAAAAACAGACGCCGACGTCCATCCTTCAAGAAGAGTATTCAGCGGGTCGCGTGGAGCTGTTGCATGGGCTGGTGTGCATCTCATCGCTCCTCTGTGTGCTTGTGCAAATTACTAACCACATTAAACCCGATTTTCGGGATGCCTTCAGCGCCGTCTGGGTAGAGCAGGACATCCTCCAGGATCTGGGGTAAGTGAGGCTTTCCTCCCTCCCTCACCATCGTTTTGAGCCATTCCCACTTCCTTTTGTTTTACTGACTTGCCTTTGCCTGATGTCGCACCGTCTAGCAAGCTCTACCTCAACGTGCTCTGGGAGGCGACCCTGCTGTTGCACTCAATTACGGTTGAGGTGGAAGCGGAGGAGGAGGTCTGCCCGACGACGGGCGCCGGTGACACGACGTCTGAGGGCCCCTCGGCAGTGGGTCCCAGCACCAGCAGTGCTTCCCCGGCCAGTGGCAGAGGCTTCATGCCGCCTTTTGTTGAGACGCTCGGCATTTACCGCATTCTGAAGCCTTATCGTGGGGTTACATCAGCCGCACAGGTCGGCAATCTCTTAGGTGAGCTTTCCAGGTCTGATTTGGCGTCGATAACCGATTTTTTCGCCCGCAGTGGGCGTTTTTCCATCGTGTGTGTGCGTCTGTGTGTGAACTGGTCCTTTTGCGTACGTGTGTGTGCGTGCGTGCACTTTCCTAGTCCGTGGTGAGGACGGTTCTTCGTCGACGCAGATTCTGCGTAAAGCACTTTTCCGAAATCGTCCATTGAGTTGCTACGTAATTTGTGATCAAAGGTGACAAAATTGCGTTATTCCCCAACACCTCATTAAGATCCTACAAAATTAAAAGTTTAGGGACGACAACTGGTTGCACTACACCCACGATCCCCACCTCCCCCCTCCACCAATTAACTAGTTTTGGCGAATACGACCTGTCTATATTAAAACATCTCCATCTTTCCCATCACGTCTAATCAGAGGCGCAGAAAGTTGTGCATCACATCATCTACGTGACCTCCTACTTCATCAACTCGGTCAACGAGTTGTGTACAACCCTGACGCGGTTCTGCGTGTCAGCTCCTCACCAATCGAGGCGTCTCATCGTCAACTTCTCGTCCACCTTGCACGACACCGTTCCACTGTCGACGAAGCTAACGATTCTCTCGCGTGTCGCCTCCGTGGCGATTGACGCCTTGCTCTGGGAGCCGCCGTCGTTGCAGTTAATTGAAACTCTGCCCCCAAAACTCCTCCACGCCCTTCGCTACTCAGCTTTCCGGCTCTCCCACATTCTCTTGTTCGATGCTTCAACCAAGACTCCCCAGGTTCTCATGCTGAAGGCCTTCTGCATGCTTCGTGGACTCGGGTACCTCTTCGGGTGAGCGAAAATTGTTAGCTCCTGGCGCCAAATCACTCCACAAATACCGTCTTCCCACGCTTTACTCTCTGTTAATCGCCTTTTTTCCTTCTTCTAGGATTTGCACAAAATTCGTCGCCAACGCGTCGAGCGAAATGTCCGCCGTCGGTAGGTTTATTTTGGCCGCTGACCCTCTATTGGTTGTGGGTTCTCCTCGTAGATTTTCTGCGTGTGTGTGTTAGCGCTCGAGCTGACTTGGCCAAATTCTCACTAAGAAAATTGAGCACTTGTGATCTAACAATTTCTACTTTCCCACCTCACAAGCTTTCCGAAAAATCGTACAGGCGTTTCTTTTTTTCACTGGAATCTTGAATTTACACTCCGTCTGTAGACACATTTGGAATCGTCGTTGAGGAGTGGCTAGCCTGCGCAGATCGCCTAAGCAATGCGTCGGCCTTGAAAGTGGAAGCCCAACGCCTCCCCGAGGCCGATTTGGCTGGCTTCGATGTGGACAAGTACACCGGCTACCTTAATCGACTGATGCTGGAGCCATTGTCGCTTGTCTGTCGTCTCGGATTGGTGGTTAGTGTGTTTGCTTTTCTACCTAGATCCAAGCCACGCTTTTTCCCCCTTCGGGCATTTTATTCTAACACTAAAGCGACTGGTATGACAGTGTCCCCTTCTAATTTCCGTTTTCTTTCCTCCTCCTCCTCCCCCCCCTCCGTCCCGCAGAACCACCTCTCGAAGCGAGGTGTGGACCACCTCTTGAGTCTCATCATAAACGTCGCACCATTCATTTTCACGGAGGAGATAGCATCCAATCCACCCAGTGCAGCCTCCACGGAAGCCCCCTCGCCTACGATCCAACTCGTGCCCGAGACACACGCCAAAGCCCTCGAGGCGATGGGCTTCACGTTGGCTGACTTCCAGGCAGCCTTCGGGGTATGTGTCAGTCCCGCCATCGTGCTTTTTGTGGCTTTTTCTCTCTTCTGACCTTATATCAACTCTGATTACTTGTTACCGTGTGCAGGATGCCATCCCAGAAATTGTCTACCTCCTCGTCATCAAGAGACCTAATCTGGACAGTTGGGTCCCGATATCGGCTGAGAAGACTCAGGAACGCATTGGGCTGCTGAAGGAACGACTGTTTGACACCTGCTACCAGATCGCGAAACACTACAAGACCGATGAGGTCAGTTTGGAAATCCTCTGTCACGAAACCACTCCGCGCTGGTAATCGCGTTAATGCGTTCTTTTGCCGCAGGTGTTACATCAAATCAGCGAGCTGATTCTCTCGAGTAAGCAGGAGGCGCATTGCATTGAGTCTTTGGTTGCCTCCGCGACAATTAGCTGTTGCCAAGGCGCCGCCTCCACGAGTCACCACCAGACGCCACCCGACGCCGAGGTCAGTCTGCATATCGTCGCACTCCTCTTCACCCGCTGTCGCTTCCTTTGCGCCCAGGTTGCCCATCGTCACCGTCTGCCAGCAGTGCTGTGCGACCTCGTCTGTGGCCGACTCTGGAAACCCGTCAGCCAGCAACTCCTCATGCTCGCCACCCTCATTCTCGACCAATACGAGCGCACCGCGGCGGCCATCAGACTGCGCAAGAAGGCAGTGGATTTGTACGCTGATAGTCACAACTGGGCGTGGTTCGATGATCGTGCCGTGCTCTGGCACCCTCAGGTATTCACCTGCGCTTCCCTTTTAGTTTAAATCTGCGTCTGCGCCTTCACCTCGATAAAATCCATGCAGCCTAACTAGTGTGTCATCGTCTTTAATGTTTTGCTCGAACTAGAGTTCAAATCAGAATTAGGCACTTTTCCCCATCTACAGTGGAAACGTCACCGTGGTTGTTAAGTTATCTCGGCAGTGTTAGTGGTAGTGGTGAATTCGCTTTTCATGAATTATGGCTCGCTGACTTTTCTAGGTGTCCGAGTTCTTCCGTCCGGTGGATGTAGCCTTCCACAACGGCGCTACACGCGCCCTCTGTGATGTGGATCGCCGGCGCTACCAGATCGACTTTCCCACAATGACCCAAATCAACCTTGAAGGCATGAACCGTCGGCCGATCATGCTCATGCCCAATTTGCCCTCCTTCAATTTGACCCCGGATGAGGTCTGTTGCCACAGCCAAGACCCCTCCGACTACGAACGCAGCATTCAGGCCGCCACGTGCCCCGAAGGACTCTCCAACGCGAGTCGCAAGGCCCTGTGTCTGGCGATGCTCGTCCATATGGAGTCTGGGGGGATTTCGCCGGGGTGTGCCAACTCCCTCCTGCGTCTTCTCCTGCGTCTCTCCGCCAGCAGCTTTGACGATGCTGAGACTCTGATGCGAGCCGACGCTCTGAGAATCCTCTTCGACTTTCCGCATCCTTTGGAGTTTTCACCACAGTACTTTGCCTTCGTTGGCCACATCCTGCGACAGCTGTTTGACGACTCGGCGACGTTAACTTCGACGTTGAGGCAGATAATTGCCAGGTTCACGGAGGGCCAGGTGCCGTTTCTTTACCCTGGTTGCCGCGATCTCTTCTACATCCTCACTCTTGCAGTTCCTCTGGTGGCCAAGAACGAGGACATCACCATGGAGCTTCTCAAGGAAATTCTTGTCTTAGTTGTGGATGAGGAGAGTCTCAAAGGTGTGTGCTTCGGTTCCCTAAATCCCCCTTGAATATTACTGACGCAGCAAACTAAAATGTAATTAAACCTTTTTTTCTCTAAAAACACTAGATGGTATACCGCCGAAGTCCTTCATTGTCTCGCCTCCACCACCTGATGAATCAAAACACTGCGAGGTGACAGAACCGACGGAAAGGCAGAAGGAAATTATCGCCTTCCTCATCCATCGTGTTGTCCGGTCAGCTCCGCAAGGCGCAGAATCAGTCCGCGAACCGGAGGTAGGCGCCCTTTTCCTAATTTTAGCGTCATGTTTCCTAGTGGCGCGCTGCGGTGTGCAGTTGACCTTTGATGGACTCTGTTGTGTACGCATGCTTATTCACTCCCTGTGTAGACAGTTTGCATCGATTTTTGGCCCATTTTGTCGATCAATCAGCCCTTGGGTCACGCAGGTGCACGTCTCGCCGTGCACTCGCGACCTAAATTGATAAATGTTTGCGTCGGGCGGTACATCAAAGGCTTCCCGGTAGCGCCTAGCCACGTCAAAGTACATTGAGGTGCTTGTACGCTCACCAGTGTTCCGAATTTTGCTAATCGAATCTCAGCCTGGACAAATGATGGCCATTTCCCGATGATACAAACGTGCCTTATTCATTTCCTTTCAACTCTAGAGAATAACCGTGAAGCCCGGATCCACATCGGCTGCCGGCGATGGTTCTTCGTCGAACCGACCAGAGGCCACCGGTGTCTTTGAAGGCTCGTCAGGCCCGCCAGCGCCTCTTGTTCGCCTCTCAAAACTGGACTACCTCCGCTACCTCGTGGACTTGTCAATGGTCTCCCGAGCCGTGACCGAGTTTATTTCCAAGTTCACACTATCCGCGGACGATGGTGGTGGCACCTTCGTGGCTTACCTCTTCACAAACGAGTTCCGCGATCCAAACACCACGCACCTAACGGTCCTCCTGCTGGAAACCCTCGTCTTCGCGTCCAGCCCTTCCGTCCAATCCTTGATAATAAGCGAATTCAAGGCCTCCCTCAAGGCTTTGGTTTGGGCCTCTGACTCGATCTGTGCGGGTCCTGATTCCGTTGAAGGCGGTCTTTCCAGAAACCAGCGCATTATCGCCTACATGCGTTTTCTCGACTGCCTCCTCGTCCTTCCCTCTCAAATCCTCACCCACATCATCAAACAGATCTACAAGCGTCAGATACCGTGTGATGTTGCGAAGCTTCTTGCCATTGTGCACTGCAATGTAGCCAACACCTCGCAGACCCTAACCGCGTTGGTTAGGGGTCTGGAATACCTCGCTTGGTTCGATCGACAAATTAACAAGAGGTTGGCGCTGGCCGAGCAGTCGATGCGTGCATCCACGTCTGTGGCTGAGAACCATGTTTCTGTGGTTACCACGGTTGCCGATGCCATGATGCACACTGCAACCGAAACTACCCAGCCCATCGCCTCTTCTCTTGCGCCGACCATTGTTGGCTTGAGTGAAGCAGCAACCTCCGTTCATCACCAAACACGTCCGCCTCCGACTCCGGTGAGGCAGCACCTTACAGAGGAAGGCGACACTTGGGCACTAGCTGAGGATGCCAGCGAGATAGAAGACACCACTGTCGAAGATAGCAACGCTCTCCTAATTTTAGACGACGGCGAAGATGGCCGAGGTGGCGGCGGCGGTGGAGGAGGCGGGAGTGCGGGCGAGGACGATACTGACGACGGCCGCCATGGACGACGTATTGGTGGCTCTTACGGTGACGAGGAAGATAGCTATCATGACGAAGACGACGACGACGATAACGAAGAAGACGATGATGAGCAAGATGAAGATCAAGAGGAAGATGAGGACGAGGATGATGGGGAAGAGGGTGTGGAGGCGGAAGAAGAGGGAATGATCGATGACGCCGATGAAGACGAGGCGGAGGAAGAAGGCGATGAGTTTACACGTAGTCTTGCAGATGACCGCGCCGCAGTTGTGTCTCCTCTGGGCGCTGTTCCTAGTCAAAACGAGAACACCAACTTGATAGCAACACTTGTGAACGATGTTTTGAGTATTTCGCACAATCCGAGAAACCCAGCTACCAGTGGTGGCGGTGGCCTTGGCCTCAACGTGCCTCAACCACGACGAAGAATTGATGGTGATATCGTTCTTCATTTCGCCACTGTTGGTGGCGCTGGACGTGGCGGTCGTCCTCTCGACGAAGCTACCAACTGGGGGTCTAGTAACATGCTTCCTCCAGACCATCGAGTTGTTGATCTTGGTGGTGGCACCAGCGGCTCTGGTGGGCGATTTGAGCTGCTGGGCAGTTCGAACCCTCACACTTACACCAACGATGCCCTCATCACCAGCGTTCACGCGATGCGGCAACAAAGCCTTACGCTCCCCCCACAACACCCAATCTTCCAAATCCCCACCGATTCTGAGCACACAACAACTACAACTTTGCGTTCGGTTGGTGGTGGTGGTGGCGGTGGGATCGGAGGAGCTCCCGCCAATCGAACCGGGCGCTTCTTCAGCACCGTAAACAATGAAAGTGGAGCGCGTGGGGGTGGGCTCTCGGCGAGTCGTGATTCCATTTCGTCCGCCATCCTAACCCTTTTCCCTCCTTCTAATCGAACCAACACCAGCGTGAGTGCGTCGGGAGGTTTTATGCGCATCGGGTCCCAACCCTCCACGCCGATTCTTGTCCGAACGAATCTCTCTTCTGGACCGCAGCCGGCCTTCCTGTCGGCGGCGCAATCTGCCCTCATTGGCAGTCCACCTCCGCTGCACTACAACGCCTTCGGTTACGATGGTTCAGCCTTCCTGAGGTCGTCCAGGCGCCGAGCACCCGTCCCGGTTGTCTCCACTCAGCAGTCCAGCCAGGTTATTGAGCAGTCGGAGCTGGAGGCAGACACGATGGTCTGGGACATGCTCACAAGCCTCTCAGAATTCCAGGGCGCTGCCATCACTGAAGCCTTCACCAATGTGCCGAATGCAATAAGGGAGAGCCCCTCGCCAAGCGGTCTATTTACGACGCTAAACAATTTTCGCAGGCTGATTGATCTAGCGCGTATGCTGCATGGTCAGGAGATCGCAGATATGCTGTTAATTACCAGACACTTGGTCGGTGCTAATGTAGTTCGACGTAGAAATGAGGACTTTATGATGCGTCTCAGCGAGTACCATCGCCGGCGTCAGCAGGAGGAAATGGAGGCAAGAGAGCTGGCGAAGAAGGAGGCCGAGATGGCGAGAAATGCAGAGGGCCTTGTTCCAATGACCCTAGGTGACTCAGGCCAAAATCTCGACGCCCAGCCCAGGCGCCACCCTGGTTCAACGCTGACAATTCGTTTAACCGAATCCGATGGTGAGTGTGTCGCTTGTGTGCGTGTGTAGACTGTGTGCTGTGAGTGCTGCATGCCGTGGTGTAGTCCTAATCCCGTGTGATGTGTCCCGTAGAATCTCATGACGGAGCGGCCGAACCAACTCCGGTGTTCCCTACCCTCATGAGTTCGCCAAATTCACCGCCGTCATCGACAGAGCAAGAACACCCGGCGGAACCCGCGCCTAGTTCGGCTGAAGCTCCGTCAGCAGCGCCCCAACCAGCTCCTCCGATCCGTGTGCCTGTCACAGATGAGGAGACAGTCGCGTCAATGATCGCTGAGGGCATGGACCCCTCCTTCCTCGATGCCTTGCCCGAAGAAATGCGTCGTGAATTGATGACTGAGCACCAGAGGACGCTGCAGTTGCGTTCTCAACTCTCGTCGCTCCAAGCGTCTGTCGCTGAACACGTTAATGCTGAATTCCTGGCTAGCCTTCCTCCAAACATTCAGGAAGAGGTGTGTGTGTGTCCTTTATCCGCGTAACTGCTTCGATGTGCGCGGTGCGTTCACCATGCAAAACAGCAAATTTGCACCATCACAAGGCGCTTCTGTTATTATTTAGGTACTAGCTCAAGTTCGCCTAGAGGCAGCTGCGGAAAATCCCTCATCGTCAGAAATCGGTGCATCGACGAGTCACGCTGGCGACGCCACTGGTGCAACCGCACAGGGCTCCGGTACTCCAGCGGACAATGCAGCCTTTCTGACGTCACTTCCACCCTCGCTGAGGCGAGAGGTCCTCGCTGACATGGAGGACTCCCAAATCGATCTGCTCTCCCCAGATCTCCAGGCTGAGGCACGCAGTTTGCGCAGGGAAAACCCACAACTCCAAAACGTCCACCATCACCACCATCAACAGCATCAGGAGTTCACACGAGCTGTACCCGGTCGTATATTGCCAGCGTTTTTCCGTTCTCGTTTCGACGGTGCGTCTCCATTGACTTCTAATCAACTTCCACATGGTTCCACCCCACTAGCCTTAGTAAACGCCCTCTCCTTGGTCATTCTCTGCCGTGCAAGTCTTTGTGATTCTTTGGTAGAGAACGCTATTTTGCTCTGGTTGGGTGCTGTGCAGAACACCAAAACGCACACTATCCGTCGGTCTCAATTGTGTTAGGAGACAGGTAGACCAATTTGCTGGTTCGCTTGACTCTTCACTTGAATCTTCTCTTTAGCTGGCAACAGTCGTTGGGACTCGTACTTTAGCCGCGTATTTAATGCACCTCCCTCTTCAACATCTGGCGGCAACTTGTTCGGCAATTTGAGTCCAGCGGCGCTGTCCAACTTCCAGGCCTTTTTCACCTCCCTTGGCTTTCGTAATCGTCCCCTCCTTGACCACGAAGGTCTCGCGTACATCATCACTGTCATTATCACCTCTTCTGCCTCCCCACCCCTCCGAAACCAGATCATTCCTGTTCTCAAGAGGGTGCGTCTATCGAAAATTCGTGTGTGTGGGTGTGTGTGAGTGAATGACACTTCCGTCAGTCGGAGGGAATTGACCTTCTGCCTGGCAACATGTGGTGTCGCCCTTTTTTCTGAACGAAATTCTCTTTGTGTCGCACGAAACACCGCCTTAGCAACAGCCTTGGCTGGTTAACATTTTTTCCGTTGTAATCACACAAGCAGTTGCAATCAGGCAAACAATTTGATTCGTCTAATTGTTCACGGTAGGGGGAAGGGGTCGGGAGAGACAAAATGCGTGTCACTTACTTTCAAAACTTGCCTGCACTTTGTTGATATTGCCCTTAGGTGCTTCGAAATCTGTGCTTCTACTATCCAACTCGGATTTGGATAATCTCCACCATCATTTCCCTACTCAAAAATCTCTCGGAAGCCCCTCTGCCACCATCTGCGTCTTCTAGTGTCGCGTCCACTGGGCCCGCCAACGCCAATTCCATTTTCGGCGCAGGCTTTGAGGCGGCGTTGGGCTCCTGGGTGAGGATTTTCCATCCCCGCGGCAACGGTGGTTTCGTGATCCACCCCCAGGCCGCGAACATGGTCTGTCTGGCGTTGCTCGATGTCATGGCGGATCTGACGCGCGCTTCTTCAGCCCAGTTCTTCCCCAGCCTCCAGGCCTCCACCTCGGGTAGCACAGAAGGCTCTGAGTTGGAAACGGACTTTTGGGAGATTGTGAACCGGTTGAATCGAGGCGGCGGTGGTGGTGGAACCACTAGTCCGCGGAAGTCGCTTTCCCGCGGCGGTTCTTCGAGCCCAGCGCGATCTCGTGCCTCCGCCAAACACTCACAGAAATTCGCCGTTGAAGGTGATGTTGTTAACCGTGGTTTTTCTCATCGATTGACCATCTCTTTTCGATTCCGGTCAATTTAACGAAGGTGTGTTGTGTCTTGCGCCTTTTTCAGATAACGCCATGGACGATCCGACTTGCACTTATCGTGCCCGAAACCGCGCAGTATCCACAGCACCAACGACGCCTGCTAACGAGGCCGGCCCCACTCACACCATCGACTACTTCTCCCACCTGATTGGTCTGTTGTGTCACCCGGTTGTGGCCTCGAGGCCACTTTTGCAGGAGAGACTCCTGTGCATTCTCGTCTGCGTGGTGCAGGACTACTTCGAGACCCATCATCCTCAACACATGATCCCGCAGAGGTCCCATACGGACGGTCTGCCTGCTTCCAGACTAACTGCAGTAAGTCCCTGCCCTTTCATGAGTCCCATGCTTTCTCAACTTGTCAACTCAACTTAGTTCGCACAAATTTGACTGTGTGATCTCACGACAATTTGTTTAGATCACCGCGGACCCGGTCATTCCACCCTCCGGTTCTGGCGGGGAAGGCGCCACTGAGGAGACGCCTTCTCTTGTCCCTTCGTCATCAACTTCTAGCAGCCAACCAGACCTCATTTTGCCACTCGACCCCGCGGTTACCGAGTGTCTGTGCGATTTGGTGGTTTCCCGCAAGTCCACAGATCAGGCACGCGGTTTCGCCACTTGGCTGGTCATCCTCATGTCGCGTTCAAACACCTCCACGAAGGACCGTATTTCCCGTCTCCTCTCCAACGCAGCATCGGAGTTGGCGCAAACCATCTCTGCGCAGTTGTTAGCCGTCATGGAGGAGGTGCGTAATTTGCCTCCGTTGGTGCGTCGTCCCTCCGTGTGCGCTGCCTCCCACCTCCACCACTCCTCGTCAATGACGCGTCTTCCAGACCGGTTCGGTGAAGTGGGTTCAAGTGTGTTTATTGGGCAGAGCGCCTCCAGCTCCCTTGTCCCGCCTCCAACGGATGGTGACGGTGAACTCGAGTTGATGACGCTGCAGCCCTTCGCAACCTCACGCAGTGAACAGTCGCGTCTTTGTCGCATTCTGCGGTTAATGCTCCACCTTACCGTCTCTCCTGAAGCAGCTATGCAGTCCATCCAGGGCCTATCGGTCCTTTGGGGACGACTGAGTGAGACTATGCAGTGCCTTCAAGATAGTGGCGACCTCAACGGTGTCCAACTCCTCCAACCGTCGGTCGAGTCCCTGTGCCTCACACATGCGACAAATTCACCCACAGCCATAGTTGTCCGCCAGCCACCACCTGCTCTTCGGAGGTTAGCCAGGATGCCTGTCGGCCCAGGAATGAACTCTCTGTCCTCCCTCATACACGACTTGATGCTCTCTGAGGATTCGGCCGTGGACTTGTTTAGTGCGATTGCTGGGCCCCCGGCCAATTTGGCTGCGTCGGCCGACCATCTGGCTCCCCTGTCGCCCGACCCTCCCATTGACCTCACTCGGCCCATGTCACCTCCCGTGTCTGCCCAGGAGGCAAGCGAGAAGCCGCCAAACGAGACCTCATTCATCAGCCCAATATCCTGGTTCGCGGAGAAGCACAGGATCGGCCTGAATCACATTCTGCGCAACTACAGTGGCAACCTAAGCGAGTCTGCGTTCACGGTGTTTTTGACGCACCCGAAGGCGCTCGATTTTGACGTCAAACGTCGCTTCTTCCGACAACGCTTCCAGTCGATAAACGCGCGCAACGGGGTGTCGAGACACGATGACGAGCCGGTTGTGGTGTCGCGCGAGAGGATATTCGAGGACAGCTACTCCCGTCTGCATCGGAAGTCGCCGGCAGAGTGGAAACGCAAATTTGTCATTCGATTCCAAAGTGAGTCCACACACCATCAGTCTAGCGTAAATCGATAAGCGTTACGTGGGGTTCAGCCGTTATGATTGCCTTCTCGTGTGTTTAGATGAAGAAGGTCAGGATGCTGGCGGTTTGCTTCGAGAGTGGTACCTCCTCATGAGTCGGGAAATATTCAACCCGAACTACTGTCTGTTTCGTGTGTCTCCGTCGGACCGCGTCACGTACACCATCAACCCCGCCTCCTTCATCAACAGCAACCACTTGAGCTACTTCAAATTCGTCGGTCGGTTCATCGCCAAGGCCATCTACGACAGCAAACTCCTCGAGTGCTACTTCACGCGCTCATTCTACAAGCACATCCTCGGTAAACGCGTCCGGTACGTTTCAAGTCTTCCAGCCAATCACGATAAGCAATTGCCTCCTTCGTTTCTAGCCAATCGGAGGCGAGTGTTGTGTGTGTGTGTGCTTGTATGAGTTTTGTTGCTAGCGCTCTGCATCTTTTTCTTCGTCTTCTAGGTTCACCGACCTAGAAAGTGAGGACTACGACTTCTTCAAGGGTCTCGAATACCTTCTACAACACGACGTCTCCGAACTGGGATATGAGATCACGTTTAGTACTGAGGTACGCATCTGACTCGTTAATAAGGTGAAATGTAATTTGCTCTGTGTATGGGTGAGATCACTGTGACATTTCGTGTGTTGTAGATAAACGAGTTTGGCAAGAATGAAACACGCGATCTTATTGAGAACGGCCGCAACATCGTAGTGACGGAGGCGAACAAGCACGAGTACGTGCGATTGGTGTGTCAAGAACGCATGACGGGCGCAATCAGGCAGCAGCTGAACTCCTTCCTAGAGGGCTTCTACGAGATCATCCCCAAGAACATGATCACGATTTTCAACGAGCAAGAGCTCGAATTGCTCATCTCGGGCCTGCCCAGCATTGATATCGACGATTTGCGAGCAAACACCACCTACTCCAAGTACCAACCGACGTCGCCGCAGGTCGAGTGGTTCTGGCAGGCGCTGGAGTCGTTCGACCAGGAGGATAGGGCTCGATTCTTGCAGTTCCTCACTGGGACCAGCAGGGTTCCCCTCGGGGGGTTCGCTAATCTCGAGGGAATGCACGGACCCACTAAGTTCCAAATCAGCCGGGCTGCTGTCTCCAGCACAAATCACTTGCCATCGGCGCACACCTGGTATGTGCCTGCACTGCTGGTTCCTCATAAACCCACAGTGCTGAGTGGTTTTATGTCTAAATTTTGACTTTTGCATCCATGTGTTTGGAGGGGCGTGTCATTTGGTGGGTGTTACTAGGTTGCGTTTATCTCCCTTTGATGATTTTCACGTAACCAATAAGACAGCCTTCATGGGCGCTTTACCACGAACTAATGCTCATTTGTTGTTTATTTTTTGCCAGTTTCAATACGCTGGAACTACCTCCTTACGAGTCCTACGAGCAGCTGCGGCAGCGACTGTTGACAGCAATTAGGGAGTGTTGTGAAGGCTACGGAATGGCCTGATCGTTTTCCGCCCCACCCCACCCCATCCAGCCTCCAGAGATGCCCATCGCTATTCTGCTCTAACTCTTTTTCTCACTATTCCTTTTTTACAAGCACTCTCAAGTACTGTTGGACGTGGCTAACCCCGCCCCCTTGCCCTCCCTACTCCCCTGCTTCCCCACCCCCGACTCCTGTGGGTGGGAGACGGGCTGAAATCGCGCTCCGGCCGAGCAAACACTCCACCCTGTAAAATGTGACTTTTCTGTTTTGATATATCTCCACTCATTCACACTATTCTGCGTAAATACTCGGTCACAAGCCGACGTCTTCTTTCTGCGGTTGTGTGATCGTCTCCGTAGCAGTGGATGTGGGTTTTTGGTGCTTTGGGATGATTGTTCTTATGCGGCAAAGCATGGTTTCACTTATGATGTAGGACGTGCAATTGTGGGTTCGTATGTACCTGGCGAGAGAGCGAGTAATGGTACCTTCAAGCCATTTGATTAAGTCGACTTCATCGAACAAGATTGTAACGGAAAAGGGTGCACTAGGGACTTAAACTCAAAATGGTTAAGTTTCACAGACATGTCACAGTGCCACCGCGGTTTATGCACTAAGGATTGAGGAAACTAATTTTGGCAAGACCCCACCCAACGTGATGGAGATCCAGGCATAAAAATCGTCTTGTTTAGCGACCTTCTTTTATGATCATGCAAGCCCATTCTCTACCCGATTACGCTATGATTGGTGCAATTTACACAATTACACGAATACTTTAAAAACACTGAAAACTGACAAATTGCATGCAAAACATTGTTTCAATCACGTCAACTTTCAATTTAAGAAAACACCAGGAGTTTACACGGTTCTTTTGGTCGCTAGGTTAATCAAAGTAAGGTACCAGGCCATATGAAATTTTTCTAATTTTTTTTGCAAATAATCCAGTGAACCATGCCTGTGATCGAGAGTATTGATTGATCTCTCATCAAGTTACGTCATTATTTGCAGGTTTTTGCAAAATGTACGTTTTCGAGATCAAAAAAATAGGAAATAAGCAAGCCTTATTTGTGGCAGACAACTTTAATATCAATGACAGACATGAGGTGCTCGAGCGATTTCCCCAGACGGCGCAGATAGGTTGTTTTTGCAAGAGATGCTGATATTTACCTACATGGCAGCTTAATGTTTATCATCGTGCAGAATGCTGCGCACATTTATAACAATGGGGAAAACGGCAACAACATTTTTTTAGAAAAAAATAATCAGCTTTTATCCATCGCTGCAACCATCAACAATTGCTTACTCTTAATTCTGACAAAACATTACCTGTGTAGCCAGCTTATGTTAGGGTTAAACTTCAAATTTCGTTGATTCTGACTATGGTTACACTTCAAATCATGTTCATGAAATGACAATTTGTGAAAGCACAGAAAAAGGCAAATTTACTTTCTAAACAAACAATTCAGGTTTATAAAAAAAGGATAACAACTTTAGCGCTGCACGTAATACTTCGTCCATGCATCTTAAACTAGCCCCGCAGCGTTCTCCGAAAATCTCACAACAACTTCAAGTTGATGCGCAAAATTCCGTGCAGTTTAGTCTTGGTGCATTTTCGAGAGTTGGGCGCTGGCATATTGACAACCTCCAAGTTATGTAAGTAATTTTCCCTTTGATTATTTCAAATTGATTTATCTTTACACGTTTTTTAGTCCTCTTCACTGTTGTTTGCATCCGTCCGATCTTCTCGTTGAGCTTTTTGCAGCCGAAAACCAAATATCTGCATTTGATAAAACATGAAGTATTGTTATTAAATCTGCCTATGCGAAGCAGGTTTTTTTTTAAAAAACAACTAATAATTGACAAACGCAACAAAGCATTGATCTTGATTTGGACAGGTAACCTGTAAGTGAATTCATTTGTTCGAATCGCTGTTACCTGCAGTGCTTATTTGGAGGTCATAAGGCGTCGTTTTAATCACGTCAAAGGTATGCAGTTTCCTCGGCACACATCTCTTGCAAATCGATGTATCTTTCACATGTTTGCTCGGTTGTATTTTTTTCCAAATTTTGTTTTTCCCTCATTTAACTCCTCGTGACACCTCATATTTATTTTTTGGCCCTGGACGCACGTACGGTTAAGATACATTTTCTAGTTATGTCTTGTTTTGTCATCAATAGCGAACGCTTGTAATACTTGGTTAGCAGCACATGGCTTAACCCTCACTGTGTAAAGCGCGGTCTTGAAGCTGCCAGCTTAGGTTAACCCACTTCTCTTTATGCTATTGTAGGAAGCCGATGGTTGTTCATGTCTTCAGGTGGCCGATTCACCTCCGAAACCTGCTCACGCCACCCGATAATTTAGCTGTAGCCGTCACGTGCATATTTGTATGGGGCTGAATTTGGCTAAAGTAGGGCCGATCATTTCGGAATCTAGAGCCGAATGATTTCCCTAGAAGATGGAGTCATAAACCACTTCCTAATTATTACGATGAGTGTTTCAAACAGGCCACAGTGAGAGTTTATGTGTGTAGCATGGATTAGCGGTATTTTGCTTGGTTGCTGGTTTCCAACGAATAGTCGATTTTCGTTAACTCACTAGCTCACTGTGGTGTACGCAGCCATGTTAGTTTTCCTTCTCTCCAAGATGGTAGTGGTAGTTATGATGGGCCCCACGGGCTGCGGAAAGTCAACCATTGCGTCTATTTTACAACGCCGAACAAATTGGCGGTTCGTCGAAGGCGACGACTACCATTCGGCAGAAAACATCTCTAAAATGTCCTCCGGAATACCACTGACAGACGAGGACAGGCAACCGTGGTTGGAGGCTCTACATGCGGAGGTTGAACGCAGCCAAGCGGCGCACAGTAATTTGATTCTTGCCTGCTCCTCTTTGAAGCGCCAATACCGTGCCACGCTAGTTGGAGGCGACTACCCATCAGAAGATGTTCTCTTCGTCTACCTAGACACACCAAAAGATGTTCTCGAAGCCCGGGTAAGAGAACGCAAAAATCATCCTGTACACGAGGACATCGTTCAAAGCCAACTGGACATTCTTGAGCCTCCGGGGGCGGATGAGCACTGTGTCAACATTGACACGACACTCGACCGTAAAGACGTTGTATCGCGTATTTTGAAGGAACTTGACCGCGCGTAATCAGCGCATCAGATGGAACACCTTACTGTTATTACTAGTATTTTTTGCTAGTATTTACTTGCCCTTTTCTTGATTTTGACACTTGATTGCATGTTGCCGATTGTTTATACCTGCAAATTGATCCTGCTGAGCTGTGGTGGTTTTACTCTAGTCGAAGGTAGCCCAACTCAAAGCTGACGCTGACAAAATGGATGTGCGGCCAGAGAAGCCAAACCTTTGGTGTAAATCAGCACGCGTGGCGTAGGAAGAAAACACGTTGGTATTAAGTTACAAGCACAGACAACAGCTGTAGTAAAATAAAATAATGGGTGGTATTACAATAGCGTGCTGTGTCTAGTGTGGATGCGGTAACAGCAAATGCAACGCGTGGGAGGATGAGGAGGGGGAGGAGGAGGAATACGGCCTGAAATCGGAAGCTTTACACGTGTCTACGGGAATGAGATCTGTCAGATGTATTCTACGTTGTCATTGGGTGGTTTTAGCAACGCCGCCTGCTTGTACTCCTTCGTCACTTTTAGTCTTGTTTTGTAGCTCGCCATGACAACCAAGTTAAGAGACTGAAAGGCAACAAGAGGGACGTCGGCTATGTTGTTTTCACTATTGACACGCAGTTTCAACCGCTGTAATAATCTACTATTGGCTGGTATAACCACGCCAATCGATTAATGCACAGTGCCGATTGACGAGGCACAGGGAAAGGATAAAATCGTTTTTTTGAAGTGTGTCATGGCACTAAGTATTTCAAGGCAAACGAGGGCACCAGTTTCTACAAGACATAGGAATGTGCAGCTGAATGCGGCCTGTCTTGAGCGCCAGTTAACTTCTTGACGTGTGGCGCCTGCCACAAGGCTGTCGGCTGGTTGGATCACCTTGTGTACTTTGTGTTAATTTACATTAACACAGAAGGGAATCACCGTGCTGTGAGGTCAAGCTTGAAACTCCAGTTCAAATGTGATTTACTGCGCCTCAAATGTAAGGGAGGCGATTGAGACCTAATGATGCACTTGCTGTTTGTCAGGGCACTGAAGTTCGTGCTTGCAAGGGGTGCGCACAGTCGGTTCTGAGAGCTCTTTATTTCGACAGGTTTATGGCTAAGTGCTCCGCGACTGAAAATAAACAAATTGAGTTGGACTTTAAGCAAACTTTGCGCCTGCTAAATCATTCCTTTGAGGCAAAACAAATGTGTTAGTTGAAGACAAGTGAGTTGTGCTAAAGTTGGTGAAAGTGGAAACAGCTTCAAGGTGATTGTTCGGTAACTCGAAAGAGACTTGGACGATAATAATCCATTAACGCTATTTCGACTCCAAAATCACTCACTGTTGAAATACTTTAATTTAGATTCTTATACAAGTGGATCAAAGAACCACTTAATCGATCTTTCGGATACTCAGTTCGCTAAAGCACTCGACTATGCCGAAATTCCACTCGATGACTGTTAGATAATAATTTTTGTTTAAATTCACTGCCCAATAAAATGAGCACAAACTATCCGCTCACAGGACTTTGTTCAGGTGACTGGGGCACAATAGCATGACGACTTTTGATCCAGTGTGAAAGGTACTTCTGCCCTGTCGCAAAAACCAGGTCACGTGAAACCACATGTTAAGATGTGTGGGATAGGGAGTAATACAGCTGTCGCTTGAAGCACCACCTCGCCGTCACAAAGAGCCAAGTGGGGCACTCACGAAGTCGACTCTCGATTCAAACAAAGCAGCCAGTCACCATGGGCCCCAAAATATATTCGAGTTTAATGATTAGGGGACATTGACCACAGGCCAAACATACCAGTCCAACGACAACCATGAGAGCGCCTCCCAAACCGCAGCCGTAGAGGGATCCCGCAGTTTTTACCTGAAAGGCAGGAAGGCAAGTGTGTCAAGCGAGCGCGCGCGAGGCACTTGTACTCGTTAAAACAAGCAGTGCCGGCTTACCGCGGAGCAGAAAATTTTGAACCTCACTAAACTCTGGATGGATTCCTCCACATTCATGTAAGACGGATACCTCCATGGCTGGACGTAAATCCCTGCAACGAACCACAAGACAACAATGTTAAATATATGAGAACAATTGCAAAACTTTTTTTCTGAGGGGGAAATATTTAGGCCCCACTTTTGAATTTCGCGGGTGGATAATACACGAATATAAACACGACAAGTCATCTGTCAGGCCAACAATACTCTAGACAACACTTCCATTCGCGCATTCAAACGCGCGCCTTCCTAATGTTTGTTTTAAATCACGGTGAGCACAGGCTATTTAGAGAATCGCGTGTAATTACGGTAATTGGAGGGTTTGTGGAAGCGCGCTGTCTTATGCCACGACCAGTACAACTTCAAACAACTTGCCGTAGGCTGTGAGGTTGAAGACGTAGTAAAACCCATCCGATCGACCGATTTCCTCAAACACCCTAAACGTATAATTGGCCGGGTTGATCATTGGTGGAATTGGGAGGTGTGGAAAACTCCTGGCAAGGTCATCGCCATTGAAACGCGGTGTGGGACGGTAGCCTGGCTCCTCCCAGTACGGTTTCAGTGGAATGTTGTTCTCGTAGATGCCTGGCTTTTGCACACCGGGACCAGTGTAGAAGTCGGCGAGTTCGTGTTCACATACGCTTGCCATCATCGCCCAGGCGACGTTAGGCACTGCCAACCCGATTGTCAGAATCACCCACAATGTTAGCTGGCCGAATGTAGTCCACAGAAGCTAAACGTACACAAAAAATGCCACGGCCTTCCTTCATTAAAAAAATAATACAAAGAACCTACTCAAACACTGATTTAGTAGCGAGGCAAATAGTGCCAAATTTTCGCTCTAGCATCTGGGTGACAAAGGTTGCATGGTAAAGGAAGGCAACTTGATCGATTCTATATTAAATGTTGAGAAAGTTAACATTTCCTACGCTCTTAACTACGTTTTTGCAAGAGGGTTGTACGCTTTTTCAACTTCTGTCACGCACACCGCATTTCATATCGACCGCCCACCCACACATATATCCTATTGGTTCAGAGTGTTCTCATTCTCATTGGCTGCCAAGCTCATTCTGGGCATCTGCACGTGTTGAATCGTCCTTTTGACTTGAAGCGCGAAAAGCGCTGCCCAGCTTAGCACAAGCCAGGGGAATTTACATTCGTGCAGCGCAGTATAACCGGCATTGTGGGCCTGGGGTGCATATGCATTTGGTACATTAAAATAATTTCAGTGCATCTGCTGCCTCTCATGCAGCGTCCAAATTTAATGCATTTTCACAAAACACTAATTTAAAAAACACAACAATTTGAGTATCCCATGGCCTTAACTAAGCAATCTCCCACCATAATCAAGGAATCCTAACTCGATTGTTTAATTTTGCCACCTGACCTTGAGCTGATTAACTGGCGGTTTATGCTTATTGGACAATTCTTGAACATTTCAATTATGGGATTGGTAGAACTAGAGTGGTTTGCACATCAACATTATTTAAAAAAATTCAAGAATAATTTCGAGGAAGTTGAAGTGGAATCATCCCTGGGGGTATAGGAGAAACCTGCTTTTCCAAAGCCTGTATCACTGCCTAAAATCAACCTAACTGTTTATTACCAATCAAAATTACAGGCGGATTCAATTGGGCAACAGGTGACCTTGATTTGATACCGGCATGTTTGAAATTTCGGGATTAAGCGCGATATTGTCACAAGTATTGCAGTTTCGAGTAAGGCGGGTCCAAAATAGTAATTAGGAGGACAGAGTCAAACGATAGGGAGAGGAAATGCGACATTATTTTCATGCTACAGTCTACACATTAGAGAACTATAAATCATTCACATCGACTTTGCGACCCCAGTCAAAATTACATATTTGAGTTGTTTTTTTTGCGTTAAAAAGGATGAGCTACTGAAGTAGACAGTCTAGTAGTACAGAAGACTACAAATAATCGCTTCAATAATCCATCTATTAGCATGCTTGCTCAAAATTAGTGTCGTGTGAAATTTCTAACCAATGACAAGTGCCTCAGGAGTTCAGGAAGGGGGAATAATGATAAAACTAATCGATAGATAGGTGTCTACACTGATTTAAGCAAAAACACCAAAAAGCGAATACAAGTTGCTTAAGGGAACTCAGAAACGACGAATCATTGTTTGTGATTGGCAAACACTTTTTTAGCTGTCGCGTTAAATTCACTCGCTATGGTATAATATTACAACTGGAATTTAAATTTAATTTATAATGCCAGGATATGACTTACACCTCATTTGTTAAGAACTTTAACAATCAAAGTCATTCCTTGCCACATTACCACTGGAAACATAACGGTCTGAATTAAAAAGCAATTTTTATAAAAAAAAGACAAGATCGTATCACAAATTCAGACTTAGTTACAACTACGCAATTAATTTAAATCCGCATTTATATCATTTGATTAAACCATCTATTTGCGCACACTCAAAATAAAAAAGCAAAATAATTTTTTCAAGCATTTTCGAGTAAGTGGGCATTGCTTCTTCAATCAACGCGCCTTTGGTAACCACGATAACCTTGGCGAAGGATTGTTTTGTAACTTTTTGAGGCAAATTTGCAGCATGCAATCAAGCGCTACGTTTTGTGACTTCAACGATTTGCTGATTGCAAAAACTGTCTTCCGCTGGAAGAGTTACTTCAACCTCTTCGATGCTTAGTCATCTGCTCACCGATCCGCCAATCAGGTGGCCGGTATTAACCGCTGTATCTGATTGGCTAAACTGCGATGTCAAAAACAGGCGCGCAGTTAGTTGACACTATGGAAAGTAAACTGTTATCGACAAAATCCTAACTTCAAAACGCTCGTTAGGTGATTATCGCGGAAGAGTTTTTTTCAGTGATAAATACAGAGCCATCCACAGTTACTCTTATTAGTTAATTTTTCTACTCAAATTATCGATTTTTAGTACATTGATTTTGGCTTAATCATTTTTAACAGCCATTAACGCACCTCGATTTCTAAGTTCTCAACAAATTTAAACAATTCTGTTCACTTGAAGGTTGCATTTTACTTGAACTTGTGTTCATCTCTAGATCGGACATAATCAAACTGAGTTTTGGTGACAACGCAAGCTTTCAATGACAAGTTAGTGTGACGAAAGAGTGCAGGGGTCATAATTGTTTAAATCAATGCTATCACTGACCTTTGCATGTCAACCTCTGTGGGCGTTGTCATGTAACACTGCACAAAACGCGGTTACACGTCAATGTTTCGTCTGGTCCGTTGACGACTGAGCTAGCAACTATGCTGTTTGGACAAACAAGGCATGATACAAAGATGACAACTGGTTTCAAAAATGATCGTGTTGAGTTTAAAAAAGATTAATATCAAACATTTGTCTGCCCTCTGCCACAGCAAAATCGATTAACTCAGTTTGGAAACCCAAAAACTGGCAACAATAAACAATAGGAATTGGATGAAATTGTGTGCAGAACTCGGTAACTCATAATTAATAAACACGATACGTCAAATGCTAACCAGATTGACTGGGATTGGTCGGACTTGAAGGTTATCAGTCTTGTTTTGTCCAATGTAAAAGCAGTTTAGAATGGGAGTTACAAGTGGCCAAGCTAACTCTTGACTTACACAATTTCAGTCAATTACCTAAATCGTGGATTTACGAGGTATTTACAATTGACAGTTTATTTCGACATGCAAACAGAAGTTGATTAGCTGTATAATGCACGTAAACCTTTGATTTTAATTGACATTTTCATCCAACGCTCATTGGCCAGTTGCCAACGCCCACGGCGGATTTGAAACCAAATCAAAAGCAGTGAGTTTTTGCGACGTCCAATGGTTTTACGGACGCCAAAACAAAAAAAAGACTGAAGATGCGAGGTCGAGAGAAGCTCGTACGAAGTTACCCCTCTACAATTTCCCCATGATGAATGTTTGCCCAGGGCAACGGTTATCGTGTAGATCATGACTGCTGAACTGTCACGAGATCTAGAGTATGATCCCAATAAGCGTGATGAATATTTTTTGTTGCAGTTTCAGCACTCACTCCTTTATTAAATTCTTAAAACATAACACGACTGAAATGCAGCTATAAACCTCCAATATAAAATTTGAAATTTGTACCCAGAGTCGTTTAAATACGCTTTTTAAAGGTTGTTTGGCTCAAGGCGCGCATCTTAGATAACATCTTTCTGCCACCTATGAAAATATGGCGCGCTGCTTCCATACTAAAGCAGCAGAGCATTGACATTTCGCCTCGACGAAGGCCTACGTCCTGCTGCATTCCTGGAAGACCATGTGCCAGGTCCACATTCGACAATTACAAGAAAGATTCGGATGAATTTACAATGATGAAATGAATGAATTTCGTTCAAGTTATAGGATTTAGAAAGGAGACCATATTTATTACCACCATAGCTACAGACATTAATGCATAATATCTTTCCCAAAACTGTATGCACTAATATGCATCAAATGTTTGGGTTTGACAATCGAAGAGGTACAAAATAACTAATAGTAACTTTCCATACGCACATACAAGTCACCATAGTCACCTTAAGGTATGACATATTAGTGATGGAAAATTGATATATCGATTTATCGACTGCGTCACACAGAGAATTTTGCTTTAAATCAAACGGCGCGCCGCGTCTGTCCTGTTTCGCCAAACGACCATAAATCAATTTAAACCAGCAGCGCTTGTTTGAATTCGAGACACTGACTTCCGATTGGTGGCTTAACTGTGCCCATTGCATGTAAAGTACAAGGCGGCACGTTGAAAAAAGCCATTCTTTCCAGCTCGCGTCCACCCTGGGAGGGCACTTTTCTGTCAATTGTTTTTATGTGACTAAACAAAAGCACCGAGCAATTTTTGACAAATGACAGCATCCAGCAGGCAGTCACTGCGAATGATGAAAAAAAAGTAGTTTTTTGAAAAAAAAGGTAACGTTGCACTTGTCCTGAAGTAAAGTTTATTAGTGCTAAGATATTTTACTTTCAAAATTTTGACAAAAGTGACTTCCATGATATGCTGGCGCGTACAGTGCTTACTTTTTATTAAAAGATTCTTGCAGCATAAAATCAACCAAACAAATACAAGTGCAATAAGTTCCATTAGTTTACAAAATAATAACTTATTTTTTTGACTGTTTTGATATTTTGAAAAACAAAATTACTGAAGCACTGAAGTAAAACCGGCCGGATTTCCGCCAAATTAGTGCTAAAGCATACAGCTTGAAAATACCACGAGTGGCGAAAACGCCTCCAGTGGATGATGATGATGATGACCAGAAACTGCAGGCGGTAAAGCCTTCTGCTGCTTTACGAGCTCGAAGTTATGAATTTGTGGGACAAGGTTGAGTCTGCGCAACCGATTTGGGCTTATTTGCACACATTTGGTGTCGCCATCTTGCCACAATTGTCCTTCGCAATTAGTGGATTGTGTAACGCCAAAATATTTCAGTCGTCTTGCCTAATGACTGGTCAGGCAGCTGTTTTTGTCACCGCATTGAGGATTCAGGGTGTGCGCGCGGACAGGTAATAACGCTTACCACCAATGAAAAAATTACTGCATTCGCAAGGCTACCCATTTCGTGCAAGAGGTGAGCATTTTGGAATAAAAAATTTGCCTGTTGCCCAGGCCTAGGAAATGGGGCTAAATTTGCCTCAGAAATCACCATTTTGGGTAATGAAAGTGATTGTAACTGGTGGCTTCGTTGAGTGAGTTTTGGGCCACAAGGCCCAACTCTGATTGGCGATTCCTTAAAGTCCAATGGTAATCGAAAATGAGAGCTACAAGATTCAATGATTGGTTGCTGAGAGGATGCATTTGGTTAGCATATGCGTACGGAATACTAATCCTGGGAAACACCTAAGCACCCAGCTGTCTTGTCTGTGATTGGCTAGTGCGTGTTGACTTAAACAAGGAATGCAAACGGGGCCTGGAGACTCACAATTACTGCCATTCGACGTCCGCCCTTTACGTAGGAGTGCAGTTTGCCACGCGATGTCCCTCGTCTAGACCGCTTGCTCACCACCAAAGCGAAAATAATCAGCATGATGGCGACGCATAATACCACCGCACACACCAGCAGTTCGGCTATTTGCACGTATAGTATCCTGCAAAGCCAATAGCACAAATGAGATAAAGCTTTGTTGCATTTTTGTCCATTTTGGGGATATTAATAATTGTGTTCAGCATAGTTAAGCTTCTCCCGCCACGTCTACCAGCACTGTCAGAGCTTGAGACACTTTGTTTCCGTCCCCCCCTCCTGATGTCTGATCACACTTCAGATTCCCTCTCCCGCCCTAGGTCATGTTGACATGTTTGAGCATGCCGTCGTGTGAACACGACCTTGTGCCCTGTCTGTGGCGCCTCCTGTTTTGCGATCGCCTTCGTCATGGGCAAAATCAAGTCCATGGAACCAACCACTGTGTCATGTGTGGTAGATGCTAGATGCCAAGGCCAGCGCGTGATTGGTTGTGCCAGCCCTCAGCCATAGAAGGGACCTTCCAGTTGCCTCTGTGAATTCTAATCAATGGGCTCACTGGTTCTGCCAACTGACCTCTCAACTACTTGAGAATTAGACTCCATTTGGACGCAACTATTGGCTAGTTAAGAGTAATAGGCGCCTTGTTATGCCTGTTTCTGAGAATTCTATTTAAGCATATCTAGAGATCACTTAAAGTAACCAGCGCCGGAATTATCGCATGCAAGTAAAGCAGTGTTTTTTAACGAACTTCAAACATCAAAATGTTGGTCAGCATTTTGACACAGAGGCGTCCCCACAAATTATGGAATTTACTGATGGCTATGTGCTGAATTCTAGCGTAAAAAGCTTGTCAATGGAAATGAAATAAAACACGATCAGCCAGGATAAAAGTTTATAAAAAAGTTGCTGTTTAAAAAAATAGAAACCAGATGAGTGAATAGCATTGTGTCATATTGACAAAATGTTTTCACTTGTAATTTTAAAACCAGTTTATGGAAAAGCCACATGAAAATACTTGTTCTTAAACGGCCTTGTAGTTTAACAAGCCATTTTATCGCTTATAACAGTCTCTTTGG